GGAAAATTCATAGCTCACACACAAAGTGCAAAGCAAAGTGCTTGTCAATAGGTATAGCAGTGATAGATTCTAACTTTCTAAGATGCATGTCCATGCATGCAATGACTTTCTTGTGGTTTGACATATACATACTATGGATATCATTTGTTTACAGGAGTCAAAAAAAGGGGTTAATCCAGGCGTGGTGGCACATGCCTTTAATTACAGCACTCAGGAGGCAGAGGCAGGTGGATCTCTGAGTTCAAGGCCAGCCTGGTCTGCATAGTGAGTTCCAGGACAGCTGGGGCTACAGGGAGACCCTGTCTCAAAAAATAAGGAGCGGGGAGGGAAGGGTTAAATACTTTCAGTATACAAGTGCTAGTTAATTGTATGGTGATTAAATAAAACCTTTATGATGTGACATGAAATAGCTATATCCAGCTAGCTCTGCTTTCCTGCCTTTTGCTCTGTTTCCTTTATAGAAGAGCTATGTTAATCACTTGTCTTATTGTTGAAACAAAATCCTTGACAAAGTACCATGAAGAAGGAAGGGTTTACTTTGGTTTACAGTTCCAGGAGATACAGTCCATCATGGTGGGGAAAGTATGATGGTAGAAGCAGTGGTTGGCTGGTCACATGACACCTGTCAGGAAGCAGAGGTGGATGAATCAGGTGTTCACTGTGCTTTTTACTTTGTAGTCGGTCTAGGACTCCAGCCGCCAGGTAACATCACTCAGATTAGCAGGGTCCTCCCACCTCATTAAGCTAGTCTAGATAATCCTTCACAGGTATGCCCAGGGGGTTATTTTCATGGTGCTGCTTTAGAGACTACAATGAACAGTATGATCGCGGTTTGAATTTCTTGTGCTAATTCTGCGGTTTTGCGATGCTGTATTTCTGGATATATAATGAAATACCTTCTTCAATAGCAGTTTATCTACTACTACACTTCAGTAAACTATCTCAAAGCCTGTCAATACACACATGCGTGTAACTGGTACAAATAATGTATGCCTTTTGGGCACCTTTCTGTCCAAATGGCAGTCACTAAATACACTTAATGTTTCCATGGGCTGAGTATCGAGGAGAGTCAAATATGTTGGAGAAAACCGTCTTTGAGGGTTTTCCATGGGTAGTTTAATTAACGGACAGCAGATAGAAAATGAGCAATCTGTTCAGCACAGTATTCACAGACACCTCCTGCTGCATTGTCTTTTCACTGAAACTGGAATAGGGAAGTATCGTATCTCATAGATCCTTCGGTTTTGTCTTTGAATGATTCACTTGGTAGTCAACTTAAAGAACTATTTTATATTTAAAATATTTTTATGTGCTTGAAAGTCCACAAAATTTAGAGATGTCAGTTACAATATAGATAACAAAGCTGTACTTTTCTGATTTTCCAATTTTGATTTCTGTAAAGCACCCACTTTGACTTGTTTTATCTTCTCTAAAATCCACTCAGAAACGGGATCAAGATCTAAGCCATATTGGTGAGCCATGTACTACTAAACTATGAACCTGGAGTGGCACATTCTCTATGCATGACCCAGTAGCCTCACTTATTCTTAACATCAGCAGAGAAAAAGAATTCAGCTTTTCACGATGACTCCAAGCCTTAAACTCAAAACTATTCTCATTACAAAACCTCTCAGGCCTTCCTGAAGTCCTGTTTGATTTTGTAAACCCAACGAACGTGTGCAATGAATTTTCTTTCCAAGTTTGCAGAAACAGATTCGAGGAAGAGAAAGCATTCATCTGCAGAGAGAACAACATAGTGCTGTGCAGCTAGGGATGGGCCACTATGTTCGTAAGATGTGGCAACTGCGTGGTACAGGCATGTGGGACATATCACACTGAACTACACTAATATGCACAATTAATATATGCTAAAGCTAATAGCAATATTTTAAACAAGAGCATAAAGAAAATCATTAAATATTCCCAAACAAAGAAAAAACAATGAAGCCAAGGCTGCCTGGAACCCTGCCTTTAAGAAAGGCAGCAGGTGTGCATCTTTTATTCAAGAGGCCTACCTGTCCTCTCCTTCCACCAATCCCAATAATCCTGCTAAGGAGGGAATTTGAGTGCTAAACAAGTTTTTAACACATTCATCAGATTTCAACTTAAATGGCAAATAGGAATGCCATCTTTCCTAGGTTCTGAACTGCCTGTCAATTTGTTCTTTAGAGTAAAGGGGCAGGAAGGAAATGATAAAGGGGGTGTGAAAAGGTTGAGAAATAGAATCAATGCAGGAGGCCTTCACTGCTAACCCTTTGGACTGCTTCTGCACGCCACAATTTCAGGGGCCAGAGTGAGGTTAGTAGAGCCAGTGAGGGTCCTGGAAGAGTTCGTTTATGTAGTACTCTACATATCAGAAAAGGAAATGGCAGTTAGTGCCAAGGAAGACAAAATAGCACACATTCCAAAGAAACCAAGGGACAAGCTCAAAGGCATGCATCTGTCGTCCTAGACACTGGGAATGTTGGGGTGGTGGGCGGTTGAAGCCCCAAACAAGACTCTACCACATGGAAAACCCTATCCCAAAAAGCAAAAAGAAAAGAGTCCATAGGCAAAGAGAGGAGGGGCATGAGAGGGGAGGGAGGGGAAGGATGTGACAGAGCTTGTCACTGATACAACTCTGAGAGCTACCATACTACCCGTGAGCCAGATGCACATCTCTGAGGCCAACCCAAGCTTTGTGCCAGGAGGTCTTACCTGATCATTATAAAATTTGATGGCTTTGCCTTTTGTTGTAAGCTGCCTCATATGTTTTTGATAATGAGGCAGGATACGCAAGCAAGGCAAATAAATTGCTTTATGTAACTTAGCCTAGAGCCGTAGGTCTCAGAGTTTGCTACATCCTTTGGAAAAGTTGTTTGCCTTTGCAGGTAAATTCTATTCACTCCCACCTAGAATATGGGATAACTAAAACACAGAGAATTTTATAAACTGCTCTGAACCTATAACCAACACACCAGTCAGAAAGAATTCCAGCCCAGGTCTCTTGATCCTTTGTGCAGTAGTGTTTTTCCATTACTAAAGTCTGCCTGGTCATATAATTCTTGCTCCAAAGTGACTGTCAACAGTCATTCTGTCAGTCAGTGAACACTTGAGGAGTGTTGCTGAATGACGGGTAGGGACAATGTTTTGCAAAGGAAATGTTTTCCTGAAATAATGGTGGCAGCACGTGTGATGCCAGGTGTGCTTACGGTGCGTGAAGAGGGGCAGGCAGATCCTGCAGAACCTTTTACAATGTTCCTGAGTTCCTATTAACGTCCAGTTCACCAGACTGAGCCTAATGCTGCCTTCTCTGATGCTGCCTTCTCCTGGTGGAACTCTGTTTAATTTTGTCCCTGTAGCCCTTTCTAAGGCTAACTGGAGATGGTATTACCAAGAGGCAAGACTTCTCTTGGGACTGAATTCATCAGATATCAGGCGCTAGAACATCATTTACAGTCACCATTATCATGTTTGAAAAAATTAGCAGCAGCTTCCTGAGTTGAAAATTAAGTATTTTCAGGCACTGTGTTGAAAATGTTTAGTGGTGGTCGACTGTAGCTGTTGAAGTTCTAAGTGGCTGACTCATTGATAAAGTAAGCTGCAGTAAGTACCTTTGTTTTTATGAAATGCTTCTGTATTGGGGAACATCACATCCATGATTAAATCAGTGTTCTCTTCATCCTTTTTGATCCTGTATCAGGCCAGTTATAGAGGCTGCCAATTCATATTTTTTGGTAATGGTTGGGTAGAAGGCTATTCTCTTGCTTGGAAACCGAATTTTCAATCCTTATGGTACACCTTCCCCTGCTGACCTAGTGAAATGAAAGACTAAGAGCAGTGATTAAATCTAATTTTCCCTCCAGTAGAGGCAGGATGAGCTGGGTCAGCAGGGCCAGTCCCTGCAGATGGCTTCAAAATACCTTGTGATTTGATCTCCTTGCTGTCCCATTCATTTCCACAAGTGCCTGTCACTGTCATCCTTTTACACCCTGACAAGTTCCCAAGGTGAGGACAGTGCAAATGAACAAGAGCATTTGTAATGCCGCCTGAGGATGTTGCTTGTTAAATGAGTTAGGCCATGAACCAAAGCTGGCTTGTAAACTACAAGACTGGTTAGCACATTTGCAGGAAGAAAATCCCAAGATGGTTTAACCCATTCAAGCACACCATTGTCCCTTTGCAGCCTGGCATAACACATATAAAAATCAGTATGAGCTTACACAGTCACCTGACCATTTATTTTCAAATAAACAGAAAATGCCTTTCTTTCATTCCTTTGCTGGGATTCTAATCTGCTTTCTCAGAACAGCAACAGCAAAAGAAAGTGTGTGTGTATGTGTGTGTGTGTGTTTGTCCATGGGTGCACATGGAGCAAGGAGAGAGAAGGAACAAGATTGCTGTAGCACTGCATGTTTGAGGGACCCTGTGAGATGACCACAGGGACTGTTTCTGAGGTTTCTGGTATCCTGTGGTCACACTATACTTGGCCTATTAGACACATTTGCATCATTTGTGTCCAAATAGCTGAGAAAAACTAAACATGGTTCATGGTTTCAGAAGTTTCAAGTTGCTCTATGGCTCCCCATGTTGTTCCATTGTACTTGGGCATGACAAATGTCGATGGGAACATGTATAAGAAGAGGCTGCTCACTTCATGGTGGACAGGAAGCAGAGAGCAAGGAGGGAATTGAGGACTGGGTATAACCCTCAAGGACACACCACCACTCACCTGCTTTCTCTAACTAGCTAGGTTTCACCTACTAATATATCCAGAACCTCCCAAACTGGTGCCAAGTTGGTCTGAGGACAATCATTCTACATATGAGCCTGGGGATAAAGTTCATATTTAAACCATAACACTTAGAGATGTTCATACTAACTCAAAATATGATGAGTAAGCTGGCTTCACAGTGATAAGTTGGTTCCCTCTTTTCATGAACAGCAGAGGTATGTTTTCTACTCTAATAGGTATTACATATATGAGTTTCATGCAGAGGTGACATATTTATTTTTTCCAGATTGGCAGTATGAAGCTGCAAAGGCCTTCCTTCAGACAGCAGATGGAGTGGAAGTGGACTTACAAGCATATAACCACAGGTGGAAAAGGAATGTGGACACTCTTAAAGCAGTAGACACCAACAGAGCCAGCACGGGCCAAGACTCTCCGGAGCCCAGAGGCTTCACAGATCTGCTGCTGGATGACGGGCAGGACAACAACACTCAGATTGAGGTAGGTAAATAGTCTGGATAATTGATATTAATCATTTCCTTTTCAGGTGCCTGAGCTCTACTAAAGCTCTGTGTCCCTTCTTCTTAACCTTGGTCTTAAAAAAAGAATTGTTAGCTTCATTAATGAATATAATATTTAAGTCATCTAATCCATGTACTCACAAAACAGACAAACACAGACTGGGAGCGATGGAGACAGTCGTGGAAGAACATGAGCTCTCGAGGATCCATTGTTTGGAGGGTCCAGCCACCATGAGCAGCTCATCTTTATATTATGGGGATATGTACACTAGATACGGCGTGTAGGAGAGTATGATGAATCCTCACCCAACTGCAGACCAGAATGCTGACAAAAAGGCCTTGCCCAACAGTGGCAGAGGCTTAGTAAACTGAGAGGAGTTCACTTGGTTGATAAACTACTAATGAAGAGAGGGGCAGGCATTCCTGCATGAGGGAACCACATCTGCAGCAGGTTGTTTTGGAAGGGCACAGACTGTTAAGGAGTCTTGTCCCATTTAACCAATGGCCCCATTTTGCGCATACCTTGGGAAGTTTCCTGGAACGTAGGAATTTCAGTGCTAATAAGGTGACGTTTCTGGAAAAACCTGGGATGGTTGATTAGTCTGTGACTACACGTCAGTCATCTTCAGTTATGGGTGGAGCTGTGAATCAGAGGGAGCAGGGTGGTTGGAGAATGATTAAGCATGGTATTCAGGGGCACAGGTAAGACAGATTTCAGCTCCCAGGCCTCAAAGGTGTGTGGAGAGGGGCAGGCTGCTTCCACCTTCCTTAACATTGCAAATCATAAATATGGACTGTTTTTATTTTTGTTTAAGACAGAGTTTCCCTATAGCTCCACCTGGCTTGGAACTTGCTGTGTAGATCAGGCTGGCCTGGATCTCACATAGATCCACTTGCCTCTGCCTTCTGAGTGCTGGGATCAAAGTCATGTACTACTGCACTTGGCTATAAAATATGATCTTGACTGTAAAATATATACAGAAAAGACAAGCATGTAAATGTTAAGGCAGACTGTAAAGCTCACTCAGGAGAACAGAGGCTGTTTACTTGGTTTGCTATAAAAGCAAAGTTAGCCCCCTTCCCTTGGTTTTGCCAAAAACTCAGAGGAAAAGTAAGTGGTTAAGAATGTGTTTAGTGAAGAAAGAGAGGGATTCAGGGATGCTCTGAGTGGAGGTTGTTAGCAGGGAATCTGATGGACTAATTAGAAAGAGCATCTTAGGTGAACAGTTTGAGGAATGTATTTGCGTTTTTGTGAATGGCTCCTAGTTGGAAACAGAGACAAAAATAAACAACAAAAAATAAATAAATAAAGGATCTGGGAGGAAATTGTGTGGGGTGAGGGTGGGGTTTGATCAAAATACATAGTTTGAAGGTCTCAAAGAATTAATGAAAATATTTACAATTAAGCAAACAAATAATGAAAATAGAGAGACTCTTGAGTTCTGCTTCAAGTCCCGACCATACTAGGCTGCCCAGGGTCAAGAACTGGTTGCTGTATAGGTTGGGGGTACTTTGGCTGCAGTCCATGGTCCGGTTATTGTCCACTTATGTATGCCCTTTCAATCTGACTTTTCAGATGTTATTTTCTCCAAAATGATGGGCTCAGAGTTTCTAAGAACCAAGCAGCCCTCTGTGCCACAGTTCCCGATAAATGAATTATTTAGAAAAAGTATTCAAGTTCATGAAGCAGATACTACACAGTACTGCAAATGGTGTAGAGGTGTCATTCTGTTCCCTTAGAGTGAGAGAAAGTATTAGAAATACAGATCTTTGTAATTGTAGGTGTGAGTGGCTCATCTATTGCCAAAGCCCCTGTCTATGGCATTAGCAGGTAGGTGTTTTCCCTAGGTGCCTCCAGCAGATCCTCTCAACCCAGCTTGTGACGTATCAGGCACTGCACTGACGTCATGCCATATCTAAACGAGGCTCTTCTGGCTCTTGCAGAGTGGACTGCTATTTTGATAATGATGTTGTTATGGAAACTTGGAGTAGGCTTTAGTATCCTTCGCTGAGCCATCTTTTAGCTGGGGCACAGCAGAAAGAAAGGAGAACTAGACTGAAAGAAACAGACATGTGTTCTGCCCAGAACTAGGATCTGTAGATGGAAAGAGGAAATATGGATTCTTAGAAGCCTGGGATTGTTTTGAGGGGGTGCTGAATTTTCTTAATCTTTTTTATAAGAAAAACTGCCTTTGATCAGGAAAGGATGTGTTAACACTTTTGATAATAGAATTCCATTGTGGACGGATGGTAGAGCACCAGCCATGCATGGCTGAGAACGTAAGTTCAATTCCAAGCACTATGAAAAATTGTACATATATACACACACATATGTATGCCTATACAAATATGCATGTATATACATATATGCATATACCTATTATTACAGTTGTGATTTTGTTATTCTTTTTTTCCACTCTCTTTTGGACTTCGATGTACGGAGACCGTAGAAGGCCAGGAATTTTTAGGTGGTGAAATAAGAGGCAGGCAGACGCTGGGACTCATCTGCCAGATATTTTGATGAGATTGAGATGTGCCATGTGCTCTATGGACACAGAGTTGTATGGTCCTTGTACCAGTTCTGTGAGATTTGTATCCCTGGGTACCATGGGCAGTCTTAATGACTTTTTTACAAATGGGCTCTTCCAGATTTTGGTTAGATGTTTTCTGAATGCTTCCCATTAATCAGTGAAGGGACTGCCATTCAAAGCCAAACCTGCCAGCCTCCTAATTTGGTCTTTCCTAGCTCACTTTGCTTCCCCTAGTGAAGGAAAGACAGGGTATTTATACTGTGGCATGATTCTAGACAGGCAGCCACTGGCTATCCAAATGGGAGTAATGTCAGGGCTTCCATCTGGCGGGAAGGAACCTTGTCTTGAAGCTGCTCGTGTATGATGAGTGCTGGTTGTCTTTCTTTCGAGATGTGTGGATTTTGACGTTTTTGTTTCTGGGATTTGGTAGACATGATTAGGACTCTAAAGTCACCTACATCTCTCCTAGACTCCACTTTGGAACCTAATATCTATATTTGAAAATTCTCTGGAAATTCTAACTCATTCGGACCTTTGACATAGTATTTTCAAGCCATGTCACATCACTCTCGGGAGAAAAAACTTTTATCCAATAGATTATATAATAATAAGGAAGCAAACTAATGCTCACAGAGTGACTACCTTTTAGGTAGGAATTGTGACAAGATATTGCTTATCTTTTAGGTCTAAGCATTCCGGTTTATACAAGCAGGGAATGTGAGAGATTTCCTGTGCCTTTTCCTTCCCTTGTTCTCAAAGTGAGTGTAAGGAATCAATGACTTTGTCCCGCAGCCCTGGCTGTAGTTGCGGCTGTCAACATTGTAGCCCAGTGAGAATAAAACCATGTTTTTCTTGTTTCCTTCTTATGTGGTTTTCTCTTTTCTTCTCTTGACCAGACTGTCTCTCATTTAAGAAGATCAAAACCCAAAAGAACATAAGATCATTTTTACTATTTTGGCACAAATATGCTCTGAAAATAACCAAAAGTTATTATTCTCTTAATGTGGTGACAGTATTTTTTCTGACTATGCACACAAACAGATAACGTTAGGATTGTATAATTCAATGCTTCAGTTAAGTGATTCTTCTGACTGTAATTCTGCTGTGAGTTTTAATTTATTCAAAAATGTCTTTCCACAAAGATATAAAGATGTTTAGAAACAGACTGTACTTCCTGCTGAGCAAGCAGAGACCATGCACCTGGCGGCTGTTGCTGATCACATGTTGATTTCTGCAAGTTTTATCTTCTTGTATGCCCTCTGTCTATAGGGATGCATAATCCCTCAGCTTTTTAGTTCAGAGCCAAACACAAGGTGTCAGAGAGCAGCCAGTAAGTGTACTGCTTTATGTAATGTTAGGAATATAAAAATTGACATTCCTTGTGGGTAATGTTAGATCTCATCCATGATTTGGTCTTGCTTGAGCACAGTCCAGTGGATCCTGTGGAACTGAGAATAAAAGGCTGATGAAACCAGTAGGGCACAGGTCTCCACCTGGAAGCTGGCGCCTCTTCATTTTCCTGCAGAGAGTTCTGTCAGCAGAGACCGGAGAAGGCCATCCCAGTGTTTGCTAAGAGTTACTGATGCGTCAATAAAGCTACCTTTCAACACCCTGTTCCTGTTGGAGTGTGCTGGCATCAAGTGGTTCTTCACTTTGTAGGAATCAATCAAATTCCTTTGTGATACACTAAGCTAAATATGCGGTTTTTCCCTCTCAAGTCACATGCAGTATTTGGAAATCTCACATTCACTCTCTTGGGGCAATGGGTGTGTTTATGAAAAGGATAGTAGAGTGTGATTTTTGTTGAATCCAAAGCCCCTGGATGACCTGCAGAAGGAAGGTTTTAAAATAAAGCCCAAGTTCCACTGGTCCAGTATTTCCTGCTCATAGAGGACTGGATTCCCCATGACCGTGTAAAAGCTGACCACCGAGGCATGCATGTGTTACTTCAAAGATTGCAAGTTGGAAGCAGGCAGATCCCCTCAGCTCGCTGGCCAACCAGTCTAGCTGAATCAATGATCTGCAGATTCAGTAAAGAGAGTCTTTTTCAAAAAACTAGGGTGGTGAGCCAGAGAAGACATTCAGTGTCAACCTCTGACATCCCCACAGGCACACGTGCATACTTCCACATGTGTGCACACATACTCACACACCAGAGAGAGAGAGAGAGAGAGAGAGAGAGAGAGAGAGAGAGAGACAGAGACAGAGACAGAGACAGAGAGACAGAGAGAGACAGAGAGACAGAGACAGAGACAGAGGCAGAGAGAGGAGGGAGGAAGAGAGAGAGAAAGAGAAAGAGAGAAGGAAGGAAGGAAATAAATAAATAAAGAAAGAAAGAAAGAAAGAAAGAAAGAAAGAAAGAAAGAAAGAAAGAAAGAGAAAGAAAAAGAAAATCAGGCCTAGGAATAACATAACTGGAGTTTTATGACCTGTTTTGGGCTTGGACCTG